TTAGACACCCAAGTTCTGGTTAATTTCTGAAAAAAACTTTTATACCTTACCAAACTCCTGGTGTGTGTGTCTGTTTTTGTGTGTGTGTGTGTGTGTGTGTGTGTGTGTGTGTCCATCCATCCATCCATTTTCTGTACCAGCTTGTCCTAACATAAGAAATATTGCAAAATTCAGTGTCCTGAATAAGGTGCAAAGATCATACACACACACACACACACACACACGCGCGCGCACACGCACACACACACACACACACAGTACATACTGTATATGTGCACAGTATAAATATACACTATATTGCCAAAAGTATTGGGACACCTATTTTTACACACACACATGAACTTTTATGACATCCAATTCTTAATACAAAGGCTTTAATATGGAGTTGGCCCACCCTTTACAGCTATAACAGCTTCAACTCTTCTGGGAAGGCTGTCCACAAGGTTTATGAGTGTGTTTATGGGAATTTTTGACAATTCTTTCAGGAGAGCATTTGTGAGGTCAGGCACTGGTGTTGAACGAGAAGGCCTGGCTCGCAGTTTCCGCTCTAATTCATCCCAAAGGTGTTCTATCGGGTTGAGGTCAGGGCTCTGTGGCCAGTCAAGTTTCTCCACACCAGACTCACTCATCCATGTCCTTATGGACCTTGCTTTGTGCACTGGTGCGCAGTCATGTTGGAACAGGAAGGGGCCATCCCCAAACTGTTCCTACAAAGTTGGGAGCATGAAATTGTCCAAAATGGCTTAGAATGCTGCAGCATTAAGAGTTCCTTTCACTGGAACTAAGGGGCCGAGCCCAACCCCTGAAAAACAACCCCACACCATAATCCCCCCTCCACCAAATTTTACACTTGGCACAATGCAGTCGGGCAAGTACCGTTCTCCTGGCAACTGCCAAACCCAGACAGAGAAGCGTGATTCGTCACTCCAGAGAACACATCTCCACTGCTTTAGAGTTTACAGTGGCAGTGTGCTTTACACCACTGCATCCGATGCTTTGCATTACACTTGGTGATGTAAGGCTTGGATGCAACTGCTCGACTTCCATGAAGTCCTCTAAGCACTGTTCTTGAGCTAATATGAAGGCCACACGAAGTTTGGAGGTCTGTAGCTACTGGCTCTGCAGACAGTTGGTGACTCCTGCACAGTGTGTTCCTCAGCATTTGTATACATGTGTATGATCTTTGCAACTTACTCAAGACACTGATTGACGGGGTGGGGACATGCCCTGTACCCATGGGTCCCCCTGGTGGTATCGCATGACGGGGTGGGGACATGCCCTGTACCCATGGGTCCCCCTGGTGAAATCCCAAATATAATGAACATACAGTAATTAAATTATGGCCCAGGTTATGTACTGATATACTGATAATACTGATAATACTTTGTTATTGGCTAGTATCAGGTAGCGCTCTGATGTTGGCTGCTGGTACGTACATAAAAATGACCAAATAAAATCGCCCATCATCACATTACATGGTTACATTGTTTTGACACTTTTATTTATTATTTTTTTAATACTGCTTCATGTTTTTTGTTTATTACTGACTATAAAAACGTCTACCTCCCCTGACAGCAGTGTTTGCCTGTAATAACCTTTTTCAGATGAATCGCTAATTCATACTAAAGTATCTTGCGCCAGCATCAGCCTTGGCTGTGCCCCCCCGCATGGAAAATGCGAGAAACCCGTGTGGCCAGACAAGATCTCGACATTTTTATAGCAGGAAGACATTTTTATGGCATCCATGTTCGGGCAATTCTGTGTAAGCGCGCCTCCGTCCTGCCCCTCCTCTGGCTGCGTATCACGAAAGACCGTGAGGCCTGGTGTGTGATCACCGCTGCGGGGTCCGAAAGCCCCCAGCCTTGGTATACAGTATAGCGACCCCATGCTATACACCCAAAGCTCATCATGTCGTCATGTGTGTTTTATCCAGAACAGCTTCTACATTAAACTACAAATCAGATTTGTACATTTCATATGTCTGAGTGTTACTCAAAGCAAAGGGAGAACGTGGGGGGTATGGCAAATCTTAACACACGTGCTCCATGTTATGGTTTTTGTTTTGCGAAGTGAGCACCATGTTGTTACTGGTAAACAGTGCTAAGAGGCAGTGTACACCAGCACTCAAACCACACATGTTCATAAACCTCGGGGGCCCCCTGCTGACCATAAACAGTCACTGCATTCAGAGGGGCAGGGGCCACCAAAGTAACTTTCTGAATCAGGCCCCAGAAACAACAAAACTCATACCTGAGCGCAGACTGCTTATTGTCTAATTGTGTCCCAAACCATCACAACGTGCTCTTTGTGGGCCTGGTGCAGTTCTCACAGGGCGTGTGTGTGTCATGTGATACAGGTCAGTGAACATCTGATCTGAGACTGTGGTGTATATCTAGATCTCAGACTGATCATTTATAATGTAACAAAAACAGTGGTTTGCTGTCATACTCAGTTGGAGGTGATCCCGTTCTTATTCAGTTGAAGACAAAACATTTCCCGAAATGTCTATTTATCGCTTAACTGATCTTATCTGATCTTCTATAAAGGTCTGTATGCATGTTATAGTGGGTTTGAGTTCCTGCCTTATAAGATCATAGTTTATATAGACTTTACAGTTCACAGTTAGAGCTTTATGTCCTTATATATACATCCTTCATTTTCCGATAGCTGTTTATCCAGTACAAAGGACACCTTGGACAGGATGCCAGTCCAGCACAGGACACATCCATACACAAGGGACATTTTAGAGAGAATTCATGCACGTGTTTTTGAATCACAGGAAGAAAATCATATGGACACTGTATGAACATGCAAACTCCAAAGAGTTATTAATATTATTATTATTAACACTACCAAGATATTCTCTGAAACTATCCTTTATTAGGTACTTCTGCTTAGTACAAGATGGGATCCACTTTTGTCTCCATAACCACTTGAAGAGGTGATGCATAGTCCTTTCAGGAATGCATTCCTGCGCACCGCTGCTGTACCGAGCCATTATCTTTGCACTTCTAGCCTTCCTGTTAGCTCTAACTCGTCAATGCCAGGCCAGTCGCCGCTATAGACAGGTGAGCCAGCTGCAGCCTGTATCCAGATGCCCCCCTCAGCTTGTGTCTGTGTGTGTTACAGGCTGCCAGGACCCTCCAAGGCTTCCGCTGCGGGCAGCGGGGTCAGCAAGGCCCAGGGAGCGTCGAACCTCAACCGGCGGAGCCAGAGCTTCACCAGCATAGACAAGGGCAAGCCCCTCCAGTATGCAAGCGGCAACGACAGAGGTGGGCGGGGCCTAGTGCAACACCATGAGTCTCTAGACCATTCATGTCTTTCCACTAGATGGCACCATTAAAACATTTTTGGAAAATGATCACGTCCAGTACTACCTGTACATAGGAATCTATGCATGTATTGTGATTATCAGTGTCACCTGGAGAAACTGTCAGTTTTTTGTGTCAATGTGCATCATAAATCAGGCAATAAGTGACACGGAACATTAAGGCACATGGAAGATTCACACATTCTGTTAAAAGGCCTGTTTAACCTCATAATGATGATCATATATGCATATGATATTGTCTCTGCCTGTGATGATGATGATGGTTCAGGATTGACGCATCCTGATTTCATGCACCCTTAACCACCCCCCCATGGAAAATCGAGGCCTGTCTGCCCTAGAAAGAATCTATATTGTCCTGTCCTGCTCCCCAATGCCACGCTTTTGGTTCCAGTTGTAAAACAAGCTGATGTAATGATCACTTATTGGTTTGGCCCTCAATCTCTCCCACCTCTCCTCTCTTCTTCCCCATGTCTGGCTTCTGTGAGACACTCCGGTCCAGTTGCTAACAGTGTTAGTGTTAGTGTAGCCTCCCTGTCTGGGCGCGTCCGTGCTGTGCCGCAGGAAAACCGCTATGCAACGTGAGGACCATCGTAGCATGCTTTCGTGAATTAAAGAGTGGAATTGGCACTAAGAATAAGGGATGAAACTTGGATTAAAATGATGCTCGATTATGACTGTGAAAGTGGAAAACCAAGCAGGAAATTTCAGAAATGAGAAGCTTTCTCAGAGCTTTTATTTGTGCGGGTGGGACAGACACTGCATGGTGCGGCAGGTGGATCCCCGTCTGAACCGCTGCCCTACTTGGCAAGTGGAGCTCAGTTTAGTCACCGTCCGGCTCCTGTCTGCCACCGTCGAGGTCCAGCAGGTGATAGGTGTGCAGCCAGGTCAGCATTGCCATGGAAACCCTCAATCCCGTTGCCATGGGTTGGAATTAGAGCCAGAAGAGTGCTGGTGTGCACGATTAGCGTGCCAAGAGTTAGTGGGCAGGTGGCGTGTGCTGTGTCTGTGATCAGAAGGGCACTGGTTCAAATCCCAGGGCCTGCAGAGTGAGGAAAGAGACTGTCTGACCAGCCCTTTCTCAAACAATATACATTGTTGTGGATAAAGGCGTCTGGTAAATAAATTTAAAAATATTAACACAGTTTGTGGGCACCTTTATTCCCAGGATGTTGATGCATTTATAGAAGCTGTTAAATTTTACAGCCTGTTGCGAAATTCATGTAACTTATTAAGTAGCCCTGGCTGATACTGACGCAGAGGGGAGGGGCTTTAATGGCCGCGGAGAGCCTGTAAAATCGAGCCGTTCTGCCGCACGGATGCATCTCCCAGGCTTCAGGGGATTTCTTTCTTCATGCCCCTTGGGGTCCGTTTGCGCTAACAGGAGCGCAGGTGCTAATTACAGTATAGGCATGTGGTCATGCTGGTGAGTCCAACTGGGTGTCAAATAGCACAGACAGTGCAGGTCTAGTGCAGAGCCCAGTTACAGTTGGGCAGCCAGCCTGAACAGAACCTCTTCGACGGCGGACCTCCAGGAGAGCATTTCATTGAAAGGTCATTGCCATTGAGGCCACCTGGTTGGGTAGTGTGAGCAGTGGGCGTGGCTCCATTTGGCCAATTGGGTGCATAGGTTTGCTAGGCACACGTGGAAACAGGGGCTGCCATGCATTCCTGGGGGTGTTGGTGGTGATGTGAGCCGGGCTGCACAGAGAGCCGGGCTGAGCGTGTGTGTTACCTGTCACAGTTTGATCAATGATCATACAGGTTCACAGAGCAGAGTGGTTTATGTGGTTTTTACGCATCTCTTGAGGCAGTGAATTGCCTCACAGGCCAGCAGGCTGCAAAATGAATCTCTCGCCATTAGTGCTGCTCTGACTACCCGCACCAAACTCTTCTTCGGTACCAAAAAATTAATGATCAGAGCGGAGAAGGTGTTTAAATGTGCGTACGAGTCTGTCAGTCCCGGCTGCTCTCAGCTGTTAGAGAATACGCCCTCCTAGCCTCTTATACCCAGGAGGTGCTGGGGACAGAATTACTGTCAAGGAGAATTTCTTCATAGACACCTGTAGGTGCCTGTATAGCACCTAGCTCCTGTAACTGTAAGTAGCACCATGTGAAGGTTGACAATGTGAAGGTTATAAGTTCAAATCCCAGCACATACATCGTCACCTTTTTCTCTACTGTAAGTTACTTTTGATATAAGCATCAAATAGAAGAATAAATGTAAATGTCCCCATCTAGCAAGAGGCGATATTAGCCACCGCTCTGCTCTTCACCTGGGAAATAGGGATGTAAGCATTACCTCATGCCCCACTGCGACCTCAGAAGGACACAGAGTAAACCTGAGTCACTAAGGAGTATACGAAGTGGTTTGTGTTTGTTGCTGTTCGCTGTTTCCTAGATAGGAGGAGATTGGCAGTAGGTTGCTGGCTGATGCGTGATACGGCGTTTTTGCTCAGAAACCGAAAATGCTACTTATAGTCTTCGCACTGTGTCTGAGTGCTGAGTTGTTTATCGACTGTCCACTGCTACCCTGTCCCCTGCAGAAGCAGCGACGGGCATTCCTCAGCCTGGCAGCATGAACGGAAGTGCCCCCCCGCCGGCCCCCACCCCCACTGGCGTCAACGGGCAGCAGCTGGTCTCTGCCATCCCCTCCCCCACCGCCAGCAAGCCCTGGCGTAGCAAGTCTATGAACATGAAGCACAGCGCCACTTCCTCCATGCTGGCTGTCAAGACACCCAGCCCGGTCACCTCTCCCACGCCCCCCTCCGGCCCCGGACCGGGCCCTGGCCCTGGGTCCGGCCTGTCCCCCGACCGCTTGAGGCCCCCGCTGACTGAGGCGTCCAAGTCGGCCGGCGGGGGCCAGAGGTCCATGATGGACAGATTCAGGCTGCTCCACGGGCGTCCATCCTCCAGGCCCGTGGCAGAGCTGCCTCTGCAGGAGGAAGAGACGCTGTCAGAGTTGGGGGAGGACGTGCCGGCCGGGCCGGACTCCGTCTGCAGCAGCCCCCGCTTGTCGGCAAAGGCCTCCAACTCCGGAAACGGTAAGAGTTCCTCCAAGGCCCCTGGAGGAAAGTCGCCACTGTTGGCCAAGGAGAAGGAGGACAAAGGGAAGGTTAAGTGCAAGGCTGGAGCCCTCCCCAAGGAGGAGAAGGAGCAGCCGGCCGAGCCGAGCAAGAAGAACTCCAAGATCGGCAGCCTCATTCCCAAGGGGGGAAAGTCCTCGGCGGTCAAGAAGGAGGGCAACCTGCCGGCCTCTAGTGGCATCCCCAAGCCGGGGCTGAAGGCAGCATCTCCGGGGGGCAAGGCAACGGGGGGCCCTTCTGGCCTGAGCCCGGGGGCCCGGGAGCCAGAGAAGCCCAAACTCACCAAGGGCAGCCAGACCTTCTACGCGCAGCGTTCGCTGGAGGGCCGCCGCGCCAGCATGGTGTCGTCCAGCAGCACGTCGGCGCTGTCCGGAGCCATGGTGACGCCAGGGAGCACGCAGGCAGCCAATGGCGCGGTGCAGCTCCCCCAGCAGCAGCACAGCCACCCCAACACCGCCACCGTCGCCCCCTTCATGTATAGGTGAGCAACTGCGGTTGGGAAGAGAAGGCTTTCTACCAGAAAAGAGGTTTGATTCTGGATTAGATCTGTACATCTAAATGAAACTGATAACAAATTAAATTGTAAAGTTGGGATACGACCCCCAGGTGGTGTGTTCGTTACGGAAACAAAAAGTCAAACGAAAGAAGGTCGCTTAACAGATGTTACCCTGTCACACGCAGCGGGCAAACTGTGCATTATAAACACATCATCTCTGGGGGATAAATTGCAGCGGAAGCAGTTGAGCAAAGGTTTATTAGAAGCATATTTATGAATCAGCTTGAGCTGCCTAGTAAATGGCTTCCTTTTCGTTTCAATGCTCCTGGTTGAGAGTCATTCCAGTTCTTTTGGAGTATGGGGGAGAAAAGAGGAATCCCAAGACAAACCAGGTTGGAAGGGTGGATCAGACTCGCATGGCACTGCCCCCCTTATCGGGTGCTCATGGGATATCAGACCACCCCCCCAGAACCACACAAGAAGCCCAATTTATGTTGTATTTAAACCACACGCAGTGAGCCGCCTGTTAGCCGCTCGGACAGACGCAGAACTCCCACGGATCAGCTGTCTCTCTGGCAGCCTCAGACCAAGCTCTCCGACGTGAAAACAGATAAATGCGGCTCTGATTATAGCTCCCTGCTGAGACTCCCGCCATCAGCATGCAAACACGTTTCCTCTTCGCATGGTGTTTAGAGACAAGCGTTTAGATGGTGATGTTCGGGGAGGGGGGCGGGGGGGCTGGATTGTCTCTTGAGGCAAATTTGGAGTGACAAGAAAAGCGCTGTGTGGAAATTGAACGAGCTTTATGATCCGGCGCTCGCCAGGATAGCCTTACGGTGCGGCATCTTCGGAAATAACGCCTTGGCATCCGAAGCTGTGCTCGCCACTTTCGACAAATGATTTCAGAAGCTGCTTGGTCTCTGTATATATTCAAGGATGTTCTCGACCTTGACACGTTTGGCTCTGGGTGTGGCACTGGGCAGTATCTGGTCCAGAGCCCCTTCAACCAGCACAAACCAGGAGGTTTTGGGGAGTTACCATCAGACACGTTGCGAGTTTCGGGCACTGGGGGCAGAAACTCCGAACGAGCCCCCTTTGATTTGTTTATCTCAGATCTTTTAACAACCATGCTCTCGGTTTGAGAATTCCACACATCACAACAATCCTAGTACAGGGCTCTGTTTCCCAAAACCTTCTACAATCATCATAACTTCAGAGAGAGCGAATTCAACATGATGACACGGACAGATTAGGCGTCTGTGCTAAGCTCTGGATGTCTTAAGACCATAGCAACACCACTGGTTGCTGTGTCCCCTGTACTTCTTGTTGTCTCCTGTAGCACAACAAATTGAGCATTGTGCTAACAATACCAAGGTCATAGGGCCCAAGGTCATTTTCCTCTCTTTGGATAAAAGTGTGAGATGAATGATAATGTGCTGCTCAGGCCAGACAGACAGAGCACAGCAGTGTCACTCTGTTGGCACGTTTTAAGTGCTGTCTTACTGGCCTTTGCGTTTCTGGAATTTTCCAGACCTGGAAGGAAATGCACAATAGACTGGCACGTTTCACCCCCCCCCCCCTCGTGCGAGAGCTACACCCACTTCATTCCCAAACGTCATGGCTCTTGCACTGACACGGGTGAAAGGGCGTAATTAATGAGTCAGAAATAAATAAGCGCCTGCCCATGTAATTATCTCAGAAAGTCCCTAATCTATTTTACTTAATTTAATGTTTGTCAGGGTGGATCATTGGGGGGGGGTAGTGATTGGATTCTTCTGCGGTCAGTGCAGGAATGCGCTCTTTCAGGGAGACTGGCAGCAGAGCCCGGCGGTCCTCTCTCGTCGCATTTCTGCCAGACTGTCCTGCCACGCCGATGGCAGGGCGTAGGCGGAGGTGGGGGGGGGGTGTGATGGGGGTGGCCGTATGGGGACAGCATGGTGTCTGTGTGCAGGCAGGTGATTCAGCAGCTCTTTATGTGTCCCATTGCCAAAAAGAGCCCCCCCCCCCATCAGTTGGTGGCGGCAGATTAACTGTAAAGTCCAATTTCTTGCACTGCGTACTGTGGATGTATAGCACACGCATACTCTGCAGAGTGGCTCTGGACCAGATGCTGCCCGGTGCCACACCCAGACCCAAACGGTGAGAAGATGAATATCTGCGTTCACCGCTGAGCCCGGATCCCGAACTCGGTCGCACTTTCCGATTGGCTGAGAGGCTGCCCTTGCTGGCTCACACCTGCAGGCTAGGGCTTGGAATCCTGCCCCCCCTCCTGTGTGGAGTGTTCATCCTCACCCTGTGGGTTCCATCCCATGGGCCAGAGCCCCCCAGCTATAAATCTGGTGTTTCTAACATGCATTTACTGTGTGACTGTATCCATGATGGACTGGCATCCCATGAAGCGTGACCCCTGCCTTTTGCCCTCCGCATTCTGGGATTGGCTCTTACCCTGTACTGGATAAGTGGACATAGAAGATCGATGAATGGATGGATGGATGTTTAAAGCAGCATGATTTTCAGATTATCACGTGATGGCAGAACAGTGTCCGCCACCCATTCTATCTGCATCAAAAGTGATTATATGCAGCTTCTCTTCCCTGTGGGGGACAATGTTTTCTTTTAAGGGGCTGTTAGGCACTTGTAGGTAAATACTCCCTAATGCTGTTCATTTTAAACCCAGTATCCTGGATGCCCGTGACTGAATGAATGAATGAATGATCTCAAGCTGAGGTTTTCTTGAGGGGGAGTGTTTGTGATGGCACCTAGTTGGATTTCAACCCCCCTCCCCATGCTTTTCTATTTCAGGACCTGCTCGGAGAATGACTGCACCTCTGTGGTGCCCCCAGACTCCTGCCTCAGCCCCACCAAGGGAGGCCTGGTCTACAGTAAGACGGCCAAACAGTGCCTGGAGGAGATCTCGGGTAAGCATCTCTAACCCCGCAGCCCCCCCCAAACGGCTGTGTGGCAGAGATCTAGGGATCAGCGGGAGGAGGTTGGTCACCCCCTGATCCCGCTCGGCATTTGCCTTGTGTGGGTCCTGCTGAAATTCGTGTTTTCACCCAACAAAGCAGCAAAGTCACAGATTGGGTTTGTGTGAGGAGGTCCTGCTGGCTTTGTTTTGATGAGCGATTTGGGCTCAGAGGTGTCGATGTGGTTTGAAGGGTGCAGACCTAATGATTTGGAATTGTTCTGACGGTCTGAGCACAGCATACCAGCATGGGTTCAGTCTTTTTCAGACTGAACCCATGCTAAAGACAATCAAAGAAAAAGTGCTTTCAGATCCGGGTACACTAGACCCAAGCCGCCCATAACACACACCCACACTCAAGATCTAGCACAGTATAGGCGGCTCACAAATGGTACGAGCGGCTCACAGACAGTATGGGAGGCTCACAGACGGTACAGGCAGCTCATAGATGCTACAGGGAGCTGGGGGGCTTACAGACACTATGGGCAGCTCACCGACATTACAGGGAACTCATAGATGCTACGGTTAATTCACAAGCAGGTCACAGGAAGGCTTATGGACACTATGAGAGACTCACAGATGCTTACAGGCAGCTCACAGATGCTACTGGAGGCACAAAGACACTTCAGGTGGTTCACAGACGTGATGGGCAGCTCACAGCCCATATTTGTGAATGATCTGCAGCAACAATTACTTCACAGGAAGGGAGACTAAATGGCTGGTTCTCTTCTGAAGGGGGGGTGAGGGAAAGGTGTGTGTGGGGGGGTGGAGACAGATAGAGAGAGAGAGAGAGAGAGAGAGAGAGAGAGAATTGGACAGAGAGGGAGCGGGTGAGGTTTATCCATTCTCTCAGCAGTGAGTGAGGCGGTGACTGAAGAAGGGAATGAAAGAGTGAAGGAGAGAAACAGCTGTGTGGATGGACAGATAGGGGGGTCAGTGGAGGCATGCATAGGCTGGGGGCTGGGCGCACAGCGTGTCACCACCTTTCATCGCTCAGGAGGGACCCTCGGTGAGCCGACCTCAGTGCTGTCCATGTGAGGGGGGGGCGGGCATGCAGACAGGTAGAGGTGGCTGAGCAGCGGCAGCACTGAACGCGAGCAGGAGCGAGGATGAGCAGGGGAGCAGAGTTCTCCGTCTTCCAGGCTGCGAGCCCGTCGAGGCGGACACTAGCAGTCCCAACTGAAGCCGGCCTCTGCAAGCCGCGCTCGCTCTCAAACCTGCCACTGCAGGGCGCTACCGAGCCAGGAGCCGAGGACCCCAACGCAGATATGGTGCTGCCACGGGGGGGTACTGAGTGGGAGGGGCTAAGGGGGGCAAGTGGAGCCACCAGGGCACGGTCGCTGTCGCTCTCCCTGTTCCGGGTTCTGTCCGCTCCCGAGTCCTCGCCCCCGTTGGGGGCCCCCGTGTCTCTGCGATGTCAGCGGGGTGAAGTCAGCGGGCCCGAGGGGGTGGGGGAGGGCACAGACGAGGAGAGCAGCGGGGGGCGCTCCGACGACGAGGGCCCATCTCGAGTTGCGGCCCCCTGGGCGGAGGACGAGGAAGGGCACGGGTGCGTCCGCGAGGGTGCGGCTCATTTGGACCGGGACGTGATCCTCACCATGCTGGGGGACCTGGAGCAGGCCCTGAGCGCCCCGCCACGCCGTAAGTGTCACCTGATCTCGCCAGCTGCCGCACGCACCGGCCGGACCTAGCAGGGGGCTATTTGCGATCCCCGGCTGGGTTATTTAAAGGCTCACGTGTGGCGTTGCTGCTTTTCACCTCTGTCTGTTTCTGTCCCGGTACCTCGAGATGATTCCCAGCAACTGTAATGTATTAATTATAAGGGACTTAACCCTCTCTCCCGGCACGTGCTGTGTAATTTGATCACTGCTGTATACGGGCAGCAGTCCGTGTTCAGCCGGCTGAGTGACACGTGTCGGGGGGGAGGCATCGGAGCAGGTCTGTGCAGCCGTTTGCTGAGTGCCGATCCACTGTGGGTGAAATGAATTCTGCCCCTTTCCCCCTGTATTGTCAGCACAGGCGCGTTTTCTACTGAGCACTATGTCAGCGCACAGACTCTGGAAATGGGCATCTTAAACATGGGGGGTGGGGAGGCCTGACGAGTTGAGTTCCGATATGTTACATGTGATGCTTTCCAGGCAGTCAGTCACACGGTGGGGTAACATGGACACATGTAGGTAACTGATGCTATGAGTAAAGGGGGGGGGGGGGCGGG